TTGCCATTTCTGCTTAAAATGTCAAACAGCAGGGTGAGGACTGCCAGGTGTCATCGTCCATCACCAGGTTTCACCGTAGACATCATCATGGACCAGTTCCATAGACATCGCTCCACCCGAGTTTGTCAACAACAAACTATTAACCATTCAAACTATACTCTGTTTCTATTGCCTCACAGAATCCTTCTTGGTCCTGGAGTGATGGCTTCAGTTTCAATATATTTCCTGGCTGGTGTCGTGGAGAAACTTCTCAACATGACCATGACTGTTTACAAATAACCTTTAAAGGTAAACAACCTTTACAACAAAGTCTAAGTGGTGTAAATAACAGTCTGCTGCCATTTAACTATGACATAGTTCAATGTTATTTGCCTTAAGATATTTACATAGTCTGATTTCACAGACACGTGCACTCGCTGACTCCTGTGTGTTTGTTATTTGCAGACAACAATGAAGGATGCTATGATGACATGTCATGTGACACACTTCTCCCATCTGTCTGTGGCATAATTCGCTTATGAGTCCTGATCTGGATAAAGGGCAAACTTCACCTGTAAATCACCGACACTGGTGGAGATGTGTTTGTGTTTGTATGCTCTTACATTTTGTGCCATGAGTCTTATATAACCACAGTTATACTGTATCTCACTCAACATCTTATACACAGCATATATAATCTCTTTCTTTTCTATCGCTGTAACACAAATTAAGGAACGAAGCAACTATTAATGTAAACAGGAGCTGGACTGTCTGAATATTTCACTATTCATTGAAGTAAAGTATCTGATTAATTCTTCAAACCTACTCTTCAACAACCATTTGGATGAAGGTACAATAGAGGAAATCATTGCAGCAAGTAAGTCCTCAGTATATTTCTAAAGTAATATATTTGTAATTTGCTACACGGTCAAGCTGTGGACCTGTTGACTGCAGCAGCTCCAACAGATTGGATTTTTTCCATAGATTTACAATAATAATTTACACTAGTTTGTTTAATCTGCATAGAAATGAAAGACAGACATGAGTGGTATCAGAATTTTCATCTACTTGTCTCATCTGTCTGTGCCATAGGTGTCATATGAGTCCTGATCTGGAATCTCTTTTCTATTGCTCTAATGCAACTTAAGGAAGGAAGCGACAAGTGACGTAAACAGGAGCTGGACTGTCTCTTAGGTTTTGAGCCTTCAATAAGAGGAGACTGAATGTTTTAGGGGGGAAAGCTGTTAGCTTGACTTTATTCTGCAGTGTGAACTGTTCTTTCTTGTCTTAAGCAAAAATAAAAGTCTTAAGCATTGGAACACGTTGATCTGTTTTATTTGTCCCATTTTGATGGATCCTGTTTTCCCTAAATGTTTTATGTAATACCATCAATTCATACTGTAAATCATTTTCGAGTGTACAGCCCTTATTATAAAACTATGTCAAACAATATATAATCACAGAAGGTGCATGATGTCTTAGACTGTGTTGCACATAACAGGTTCACCGTACCACTAATGCATCATCATCACAGAACACTGACAGAATGTTGCTTCAACTGTTCATCAAACACTATCTGACTTTGTAGAATGGCGCCACCATCTGGCCATACTGAGTCATAAATGTCAGACACCGTTTCAACAGAATGATTCGGGTGTCGGCAGCAGAATCTGACCTCGTCACAGTACGTGAAGCCCTCTGGTGGTTGCCAGTTTAGGGAAAAGAATTTCCCATATCTTTCTATCATCACAGCAGCCATATTGAACTGTAGCACATTTTCCTCATTAACATGTAGTAATATTAATAATGCTTCAAAGTCGGCCGCACAGAGTTCTTGTCACCTTGGTAGCCTGAGGGTAAGACTTTATTAATAATAATAATAATAATAAATAACTTAATACTCAACTATTTAATAATAATAATAAAAAAATAAATACTCAACTATTTAAGTATGTTAGTGTGTGTTAGATTTATTCAGTATTAACATATCAAGTTGAAACTAGCTACTGGTTTTCCTTGTTGCTGGAAATCAAGGAATGATCAGACAAGTCAAGTTAATATGTATAGCACATTATCATAAAGGTGATTTAAAGAGATTTACATAATGCACACATACATAAAAATATTAAAATGCAAATTAAAAGAATATATAGAAGACTTGAACGCTCAAGTTATAGAAAGGTAGCTACACCTTGACACCACTATTAGTCTGTCAAAAACCTTGCAGAGCACTGCTGTGCGATCTTTTCTGAGAATATTTCAAAGTCGGCTGCACAGAGTTCTTGCCCCCTTGGAAGCCTGACAATCCATCACACAGCCAAATTAAAGTTTCTTGGTTTGAACTGGATCCAATGTGTCATACTTTCAACTTCAAGGCCCAGCAGTGGTCCTCGTTACATAGTAAAAACTGTACTTTTAAGAAATTTATATGGTTATATTCCAGTGGGACTTGAGTTTGTATTGGATTATCTAGTATTGACTCCTGCTGTGAGGCTGTTTGACTTACTTAAAGTAAATATCACTTGCTTCAAATTAGAAGTTTTCTCGTCTTTGGGGAAACATACAACATGAACCTGCAGTCTAAGAATAACCATTAGACCTCCACCAACTCATGTCAGATCCTACAGTATACTCAGGCCAAGTAAGACACTGTACAGAACTCCTCCACATGGATTTGGGTCTAACTCTGGGTGTCCTCCTTATGAAGGCAGGGTTTTGTTGTCAGCAAAAACATGTGGCATCAGTAAGAGCTAAAACTGTTAACACTTGAAACAATTGCAAATTTGAGACTCTGACAAGGTTTGTGCATTCTGGACTTGGGGCTGTGGCTGGACTATTACCCACCAGATCCATGGCGGTCCAAGAGAGGACAAGAGATGGACAGGAACAATACAAAATTAGTTGTGGTTCTCCATGGCTTATTTTAGAGCTCTTATCAAATCTATTATTTTCAAAAAACATTTTACTCTTAGCTGTCCTGATGACAAACAAGACATCTGGACTACTTTACTGAACCTGGTGCCACTGTAACCCAACCCTGGATAAGCAGTAGAAGATGGATGGATGGTTGTCCTGACAACTGTCATACACCACAACATTAAAGCCACCTGCCTAATGCTGTCTAGGTCCCCTTTTGGCACCAAAACTGCTTTGGCCTGTCAAAGCATGGATTCAACAAAACCTCTGAAAGTATCCTCCTGTATCTGACACAAAGACATCAGCATTCATTAACCATCCATTAAGGTGGGGTTTGTGTATTTCCTGTACAGCCCACAGATTGAGATCTGGGGGATCTATAGGCCAAGGCAACACCTTGGATTCTGTCACATTCCTCAGACCAGTCCTGACTGATTTTTGCAGTGTGGCAAGAAGCATTATCCTGCTTCCTGCTGAAAGTGACCACTGCCATCAAGC